AAGTATATCAGGAGAATCCACATTCTCAGACCTGCCATGAGGCACACCAGCCCATGTCTGGCCTCCCAGTAGCTCTCCCTGCAGCTCCTGAGTTAGGACTGTGGCTTCAGGAGCCCCAGGCCTTGGCCAGGTGGGATGGTGCCTCCAGAGCCCCTGAGTCCCCTTCATCTGTAGTGGAATCTTGGTCTTAGCCTGGACCGGGACAGGGTCAAGGACTCTGTCACTTCAGCTTTGGGAACCATAGGCTGAAAATCCCAGGAACAACTTAATTCTACTGAGCCACAGAGCCCAGTCCAGGCCTGTAGCAGGAGCTAAGCACTGGCTGGTGGCTGGAAGAAGCCGAACCCTCCACAGCTTACATGGAGGGGAAGTAAAGGACTGCTGTACCCATTTCACAGATATGGTATCTGCAACCCAGAGAGTTCACATACTCAAGAGGTGCTGGGCCAGCCACGTGACTCCACGGGGGCCAAGACCAGGCTCAGATCCAGTCTCTGCGACCCTCTCTGAAGGCCACCACAGATGGGCTGTGGAAACCAGCCTTGCTTCCCCTCCCTTGATCGCAGCCCCATTCCCTAGCTGCCCCTGATGCCAGGTCAGCCTCTCCAGGGCCCACCCTGAGCACTCTTCTAGTCTTTTCGCTGCAAGGGCCAGCTCTCTACCACATGTGAGACCTGTGGATGGGGGGACCTGGAGAGCTTAGGTCTCCAGATGGAGCAGGGCTCCCCACCCCCCACCCCAGCCACTGCAGCCACCCCAGCTCTCAAAGCAGAGGTATTCAAGGCAATCTATCATGCACCTCAAAATCCCTCTAGCTCCTGCCCATTGCCAAAGCCACTTCCACTTTTAGGTATCTGTTAGAGCAGCACTTCACTTCAGGTACTACCATCTGTAGTAGTTTCCTATAGCTGCTATAACATATTACCACAAATCTGGCGGCTTCAAACAACACAAACTTATCATCTTACAGTTCTGGAGGTCAGAAATCCAAATTAGCTTTACTAGGTGAAAACCAAGGTATTGGCAGGATTCTGTCCTTTCTTGAGGCTCTAGGGGAGAATCCATTTCCTCGCCCTTGCCAGTGTCTAGTGGCTGTCTGCATTCCTTGGCTCACGGCCCTTTCCCCCGGCTGCCTGTGACGTCTGCTTCCCTCGCATCTCCTCTGACAGTCTGGCCCCCC